CAGAGGGCTGGTGTATTTCTCTGCTAAGTGGGGCAGCACGACACAGTGATCTGATGTTGAAAGGTTCTCAAGAAAGCTGGCCTGGGCTTCAGATATTATATTATTATCATTTTAAAAAGAGTCAGTTTAATAGAGAGGAATCAAGTGTAGAGCTTTCCCATTATAGAAAGAAGCATGTACTGCTAGTAAGCCAGGTGTTCCCCATTCTATATTTGTGCATCTGCTTCTTCCTGCCTAAGTGTAGAACCTTACATTTGTCCCTATTGAAATTCATCTTGTTAGCTTGCACCCAGCTCTCCAATCTGCTAAGGTCATTTTGAATTCCAATTCTGTCTTCTGCGGCATTAGCTACACCTTCCAGTTTGGTGTCATCTGCAGATTTGATGAACATTCCCTCAATTCCTTCATTCAAATCATTGATAAAGACATTGAATGACAATGGACCCAGGACAGAACCCTGTGCCACCTCACTTGTCACTTTTTTCCAGGATGATGAGGAACCGTTAATGAGTACTCTTTGGGTTCAGTCAGTCAACCAGCTACAAATCCACCTAACAGTTACCTCATTCAGCTCACATTTTACCAAGTTTCCTCACAAGAAGTCACTTCTTGGTTTGCATGGAGAAGCCATTTTCAGTGAAGACCAGTTACAGAAGCATGCAGCTATAGTAAGGCAGTACTGAGTGCTGAATTTTGGCACCCCCTATCAATTTTGTACCCAGGGCAACCGTCTCTGTGCCACCCCCACATGCTACGTCACTGATGCCCAGCATAATGTTTGATGTTTTATCATGTTTTTAATATTCTGTTGTGGCTGGGAAAACCCAGCCAGATGGGAGGGGTAAATAAATAAATAAATAAATAGACATCATCATCATCATCTCCAGGTAGGGCTGGGAGAGATCCCACTGTCCCAAACCTTGGAAAGCTGTTACCAGTTAGCATAGTAGACAAAACCGAGCTAGATTGACCGATGGCCTGACTCTGTATATGTCAGCTTGTTCCTTGAATTTGCTCTTTGTTCATAACCATGAGAACTGGGTTCTTACTTTATATTTTAGATGATAGGACCATGGGTCAGCTGCTGAGCATCCAAGATGAACCCCAAGCATCTTCAAGTAGGGCTGGTTATGTCCCCTGACTGAAATTCTGGCTGCTGCCAGTCAGTGTAGGCAACACTGAGCAAGACTGACCCACTGGCCTGACTCAGAATGACAGCTACCTATACTGCTATGCAGAGAGGCTAATAGCCACCCACAGGCAGAATCTTGAACTATGAGCCTCTGCTGTGTCCTTCTGTCCCTCTTAGCGAACCTTCTTGTAATATAAAGATTTTTTATTGTCTGAAATTAAGCTCCTTTTCCTGCCTTTTATAAAAACTGATGAGATTTTATTCCTCTTGGGGATTTGTTATTGTCTGTTCAAGGAGCCCCAAAAGATTTGTAGGAACACTTTGGCTTGGGGCAAAGAGAGGCTCCTTGAGGCATTGAAAAAAGGAGTTCAGACCACTTCCTTTTCAAATTTCCGCTTTGAATTGTTCTGAATCCAATGGCTTGCCCAGAAAGCTGCCTTTTGTTAGTGTTATGGTGGAGGGCAATTAAATATTGATGGCATCAAAAGCACTGATAAATTGCACAGCTTCCTTTGAAATGCTCTCAGTTTAAATCAGACCATGGATCTGGAAATCACTAGGGCTTTTCAAAAGAGGGAAGAGGTGGAGAGGGAAGAGGCATCAAAGAGCTTCAATTATGTGGTGTACTTAGGAGAATTCAAGGGGTTTTATAGCTGAGTAAATATGATTACATGTAACACATGCAAATTAAGAACGTTAGAAGAGCCTGCTGGATCAGGCCAATGGCCCATCTAGTCCAGCATCCATTTCTTGCAGTGGTCAACCAGATTTCACTTGTGCGAAACCTGCAAGTAGAACTTGAGCACAACAGCATCCTCCCCTCTCACAGGTTCCAGCACCTGGTATTCAAAAGCATTGCTGCTTCTGACAGTGGAGGCAAAGCATAGCCATCATGGCTAATAGCCACCAACAGCCCTCTTCTCCATGAATTTGCCCAATCTTCTTTTAAAGCCAAAAGGGCAATGTAACCTGGCCTCTGCAAAACTCTTTGTTAACTGCCCCCTCCATCATCTTCCATTCATGTCTTCCATTCATGCATTGACAAGCCTCTGGTCTTCCAGTAGGAATGAACAGATCTGTCAATTTCATTTTCGGTCAGTTGCTCAATTTTTGCAGCCTTAAGGATGGTTTGCCCCATATCTTCATCAGGTTGCATTAAAAGAAAGAAAGAGAAGTCCTCATAAAAATTCACCAGCATTTTAATGCATGTTTCCCTTAATATGCACAACATTGCACGCAACTTCCCCGAATGGAATACGACGCATGTTATTATTTGTATTGATATATACCTTTTCGTGCATGCTTTCATGTATCTTTTATAAAAATTCTGAGTACGTGGAGAACTGCATCATAGCATTCAGAGAAGTGTGCCTCTTGAAAGATGGCTACCTTTCAGTTTGCTTATTAGGCAAAAGTGCATTAAATTCAAACCCCCCATCCCTACCCTCCAGGTGTTGCCGAACTATAGCTCCCATTATCCTTGGCCATGCTGGCTGGGGCTGATGGGAGTTGGAGTCCAGTAATGAGAGCAGTAATGAGTCCATCCAGCTCAGTACTGTTGACACTGACCGGTAGCAACTATCCAGGGTTTCAGACAAGGGATATTCTCAGCCCTACCTGGAGTTGCCGGGGATTGAACACAGGACCTGCTGAATGCAGTGGATGCTTTACCAGTGAACTATAGCCCTTCCCCAGGACATCAAGGGTACTTTATGACAGTCCATTTTGAATATCTGTACCAGCCCATTGCCAAGCAAGTCACTGATATACCGTATTTTTCCGTGTATAAGACAACCCTACGTATAAGATGACCCCTATTTTTTTTTTGAACCCCATATTAAGAAATCAACATTTTAAACATCAAACAGAACAACTTTGATAGTTTATTAAATATTCAAAGCTCTGGCACTGGCACAGCAACCCCGACCGGCACCTGGGGTGGCAGGATGTGTGTGTGCACACCCAAAGTTGTTGAGTTTTTTTGAGAGATAGCCCAAACCAGGAGGTACAGTGGCTCTGGCACTTCTGGCACCTTCTTCAAGGCAGCCATGGGAAGGTAAGTAGTGTTTTGTTTTGCTTTTAGCTCCTGAGCATTCACCATCCATGTGTAAGACAACCCCCAATTTTTGACCAAAAAAAAGTTAGCAAAAAACATCTTCTTATACACGGAAGAATATGGTATGTACCGAAAGTTGTGAAATAATTGACTGTGTGCAATAATTTAATGGTCTATCTTTCACTTAGTCTGGCTTGAATTACTTCCTTACCAACCACAGCAAGGGATCAGCTCGTTATGTGCCCACTAGCCCATTCGTGAAAGGGAACAGCAGTGTTTGAAAGCTTAATGGCAAAGCAACCCTTCCACTGCTCTGATCTGAGTGATGTTTTCCTCTCTGAAAAGGGAAGAGCTGAACTTAGTGTTGATGCGATTGACAATGCCAAATATATCAGCACATCACTGAAGAAAGCTGCCTCATACTGTGTCATAGGATCATAGAGTTGGAAGGCACCCCAAGGGTCATCTAGTCCAACACTGTGCAGTGCAGGAATCTCAGCTAAAGCACCTATGACAGATGGCCATCCAAACACGGCTTAAAAACCTCCAAGGAAGGAGAGTTTCCAACCTCCAGAGGGAAATTTTTCTTCTTTTGAGCAGCTCTTACTGTCAGAAAGTTCTTCCTGATGCTTAGCCAGAAATTTCTTTCTAATAATAATAATAATTTATTATTTATACCCCGCCCATCTGGCTGGGTTTCCCCAGCCACTTTGGGCGGCTTCCAACAAAGTATTAAAATACAGTGGTCCATCAAACATTAAAAGCTTCCCTAAACAGAGCTGCCTTCAGATGTCTTCTAAAAGTCTGGTAGTTGTTCTTCTTTTTGACAACTGGTGGGAGGGTGTTCCACAGGGTGGGTGCCACTATCAAGAAGGCCCTCTGCCTGGTTGCCCATAACCTCACTTCTCACAGCAAGGGAACCGCCAGAAGGCCCTTGGCGCTAGACCTCAGGGTCCGGGCTGAACGATGGGGGTGGAGACTTGAATCCACAGGTCTAGGTCAATACTATCTGCACTGACTGTCAGTGGCTCTCCAGGATTTCAAGTAGGAGACTTTCCCTGCCCTACCAGAAGATGCCAAGGATTGAACCTAGAACTTTTTACATGCAAAGCAGATGCACTACCACTGTGTTACAACCCATCCCCTGAAGGACACAGGAAGCTGCCTTGTACTGAGTCAGACCACTGGTTCATCTAGCGCAAGATTACCAACACAGACTGGCAGCAGCTCAACTGTGTTCCAGGCAAAAGGGCTCCCCAAACCTACCTGGAGATGCTAGGAATTGAACCGGGGACCTTTTGCATTCAAAGCAGCACAGAGCCATGGCCCTTCCCCAAAAGGACACAGAAAGCTCCCTTATACTGAGTCAGACAATTGGTCCAATTAGTTCAGTATTCTCTTCATTGACTGAGAGCAGACTCTTAGGTGGGAGTCCCTCCCTCCCTGCTCCCTGCCCCCAGCCCTACCAGGAGATGCTGGGGGTTGAATCTGCAGGCTTTTGCATGCATAGGAGATGATCTACCACTGAATGACAGTCCTTCCTCAGAAGTATTTTATCATCATTATTTTTAGTTAGATTCCTCTTTTCCATTAACTTTGGTTTCATTGCTTCTGTAGTCATCTCAAAAGACAGGAGGTGAATTTATGGGTGCATATATTTACATTGATTTCTGCAACAGGGTTGTGAGATATGTCACTTAATTCCATGTATAGACTGGGGAGGGAGATGGGATAGTCCTAGACATACCCACTCAGAAACATGTCCTGTCAAGAATAATGCATTCCTGCCTGTGCCATTGTCTTCCAAAACAGGATGAAGAGGAGATGGAAGAGGCCACCAATCAGAAACTTGCCCTGCAGAAGGCCAAGGAAGTAGCTGATGTTAGTCCCCTGTCAGCCGCTAACATTTCCATAGCAGCGTAAGGGTTTCTTTTTCTTATTATTTTGGAACTGTCATGCCCATTTTATTTCTTCTTTGTGTCCCCTGGTTGCCATTCACTTCTTATTTGTTCTGGTCCAGAAAGAGTCCACGCCCTCCCCCTTCCACTAACAGGCCCCCCTGTAGCATCTTGTGGACGAACCATATAAGCCCTAGAACAATGAAGGACAGGTTTTCTTTTTTCAGCCTGAGAGTTGCATTTCCTTCTTGGCACATGTTAGTTGTAGCTGGGGGCAGAAGCAAAAGCAGACAGAGCAACAAATGTGAATGTTACTTTCAGACAGGAGGCTAGTTTCTACACACAGAGGCACGATCTGAGGAGGTGAACTCCCCCAAATGTTCAAGGAGGGGCTGGACCCCTCAAAATTCTGCTCCAGCCTTGTGTTTTCTTGTAACTTGAAACCATTGGTTTGAGTCCTACCCTCTGGAGCAGGAAAAAACAAGCTTGCTCCATCTTCCATATGACAGCCCCTGAGATATTGGAAGATGGCTGCCCTATCTCCTCTCAGTCTCCTCTTTTCCAGGCTAACCATACCCAGCTCCTTCCACCGTTCCTCATAAGGCCTGGTTACCAGACCCTTGATCATCGTGGTAACCCTCTACACACATTCCAGTTTGTCAATATCAACTGATGTCAGGGATTAAAATCCTTGCAGAAGCACTGTTTGAAGCAGCTCACATGGTTCCTTTAAGTGGACAAGTGGGTGGGTGGTGGCAACAGGGAAAGGTGGGGGAGAGGATTCTCCCACACCCACCCTACTGTTGCTGCTGCTACTGCCGCTCCGTTGCCTGCTTAAAGGTGAAGTGTGAGTTGCTTCAAATAGTGCTGTTGTAAAGTTATTTAAAGCAGCCCCAGCACTCCTGCTTCAGCCGCTGGAGAAAGGTGGGCTGCTTCAAAGTGCACTTTTGCAAAAGGCTTTAATACTTTGTCAGTCTCCCTGCTCTCCCCTTTTAAACCTCTAAGAGCAGGGGGTTAAAGGGGGATTGCAGAGAGAGTTGCAAATCCATGTGAGGGATTTTGAGCAACCTGTCAATGATCTGTTGTACTCCTGATAAGGATCTGCCTCATCAAGTCAAAAAAGTTTTCCTATCTCTGCATTATCAGATGCTGAAGAAACATCTCAGGCAAAAACACTCAAGGAAGGTGCAAAGTAGGGCCAGTGAAGCATGTGGCCTGAGGCATGAGTGTAGCTTGGGAGAGTCCTGAGGGCCAGATAGAGAGGCTTGGAGGGCCACATTTGGCCTATGGGCCTAAGGCTCCCCACCTCTGTCCTAGAATAAACAAAACCTCTGAAAATAATACTGGTGACTCTTAAGAGATTTATATCACAGGGAACCACCCATTGACTTCTTGTGCATTTGAAATGTATTTCCTGTCCATGTTGTTTTTATTTTATTTTACTTTGTTTTATTGCAACTTTTTTTTTTGCTATCTTTCATCCATAACAAGATGGTTTAGAAAAACAAACTACAGTGAAAGGATCCAGAATAAAACTGTAGTCAGGGATGGAGAACCTGTAGCACTCCAGATGTTGTTAGACTACAGCTCCCATCATCATCAACAAGCATTGTCAATTGTGAGGGACAATGAGGGTTGACACCTAGAGGGCTGACAACCAATGGCACCTAGAGGGCTGCTGGTTCCCCATGCTTGCACTACTGGCAGATAGTTACAAGGAATCAACTGTTGTTAACTGCTATCAAATGATACAAGAATAGAAGTATTTCCAGTTCAGTGCTGAAAATTCCTTAATGTGGGTACTTGGTTCAGTTCAGTTGTTCCAAAGGAAAGGTGCCTCCCTTTAGTCAGCACTAATTGAACCTCACTGCATATTACAGCATGATTAGCAGGGCCTCACCCAACAATTTTATTGCTGGGCAAGTTGACATGAAGAAAGATGCTCCTCCTGGCTAAGTGGTCCCAAGTTACTTGGGGTTTTAAAGGTGAAAACCAAAACCTTAATCATGGCTTGGTTGTATATTGGCAACCAGTGCACCTGCTTTTGGGAGTGGTGTAACATGAGGACAGTAGGACTCAGTGCTCTGGCTTGACTGGTGGAGCCCCTGGACCACCCTTAAAAGCAGTCCCACAGTGAGTGCATTGCAGTAGTCTAGCCTTGAGGTTACTGGTGCATGAATCACAGCAACAAGGCTGCCCCAGTCCAGGAATTATCCATATTTAGCATACCAGCTAAGGCTGGCAAATGACGCCCCCTAGTCACTACTGCCATCTGTGTCTTCAGGGACAGAGATGACTCCAGGATCACCCACAGGCTATGCAGCTGCTCCTTTGAGGGGGAGGGGGACCCTGTCCAGAGTAAGCGAACATCTAAATTCTCAGGCCCAACAACCACCCAGCTGCAGGATTTCCATCTTGTTAGGATTCAGCTTGCTTATTTATTTATTTATTTATTTATCTATCTGTCAGTCTGTCTAATATATATTATATATATACTCTCTCTCTCATGCACCACCAGCCATGCTTTTGGTGTTGATGGGACTGAGAGGAGGTGTTCACCTGAGGTGTTTAGCTAATAGCCAGGCAGGTTTGTAAAAGTAGATACAATCAGGTAGCTTCTTCTGATTGGCCCTTATCCAGGCCATCTCTGCATCCAGGACTTGCACAGCAGCTCCTGACTCAGATATAATAGACAAATGGAGCTGAAGTTTGCCAGTAATTGGGAAGGGCGCAGAGCCTCCTAGTAGGTGGGTCATGGTTGCTAACCAGGAGGGAGAGGGCAAAGTGGTAGGGAAGCTGCTGCAGTGCAAACATACTGGTGGTGCTGGCAGTCCTGCTGGTGTGTTTGCACTGTTCCAGCCTCCCTGTTGCCTCATCTATCAAAATGAAATAACATGTCTAATGCATGAAATGGATATTTTTCCAAGGTCACTGTGTATAGCCAAATGTTTTGACTACTTGGCCTTCTTCAGTGGCAGTACAATGTACAACTGCAGAGAAAGAATACAGATCAACAGCTGTTGTGTATTCTGTATCTGCAGTTGTACATTGCACATGTTGAAATTTCATTCACACATGTTGTTGCATTGTAATTTATTTATATATCCAGGTGTCACTGTCACTGCATATGGTGAAAGGGTCACTGGGCTAGGATACTGTTTTGTTATGAAAAAAAAGTATAGTTTTGTGTATATAATATATGTATATTTAATTCATAGGATTGTAACCAATTAAGTTCTACTCAAAGTGCTTTAAGAATCAATCCCTCTTCTCAGGGAATTCTGGAAACGGTAGCTCCATGAAGGGATTGGGGTCCCCTAACAACTTGCAGCACCCATAAAATACTACAATTCCCAGGATTCTTTGGGAGAAGTCATGGCTATTTAAAGTGGCATGATACTGCTTTAAATGTATTGTGCAGGTGGGTCCTAGGACTTAGGTAGACCCATGAGCAGAGCCCTACTCATCCATGAAGTTTGCTAGTTGACCTTAGACCAGTCACCGCCACTCAATCTAACCCACCCCACAGGGTTCTTAATAGGACAAAGATGTGAAGGAGAAACTTGTAAGTGAGCCAGGACTGGCAAATGAGCTGAGATCAGAAGAACCTAAGACAAGCCCTACTGGATCTGACCAAAAGCCTGTGTGGTCCAGTATCCTGTTTCTCAGTCTCCAACCAAATGCTTTTGGGAACTCAGAAGCAGGACATTATGGCAATAGCTCAGTCCTGCTCCCCCCCCCCCAGCAACTGGCATTCTGATCCTGAAGGTACCTAGCAAAAGCCCTGCTGGATCAAGCTACTGGTCCAGCTAGTTCCAGCATCCTGTGCTCACAGCGGCTAGCCAGAAGGGTATGGGAGTCCCACAAGCAGGGTCTATGTTCAACAGCGCTTTCCTCACTTGTGATCCTCAGCACCTGTTATTCAGCCATTCATAGCCATATTCTAGTGATGTAAAAGTAGTATACAGACGTAGTGACCAGCATCCACCGACAACCTCATCCTCCATTAATTTGCCTGATATTAAAAGCATCTAAGCTGGTAGCCATAAGCAAATGTAACGAATGAAATGAGCAAGAGAACTTCTCCAGCCATTTAATCCCTTATTATTATTATTTTTTAAAATAATAATAATTAACTTAAATATTTATTAACCACACTTTCGTAGAAGGTGTAACAAGAAAACCAAATGCAGCTACAAAAGCAGGTTTTTAAAAGTTAATCAAAACTGGTTGCGAAGGGTGGGAAATCATGTTCCAAAGGCCTTCTGGACAATACAGTTCAGACATCTGTATTTGATCTGTATCAGAACACAACTGAAAAAAAGCAGGGGTGACCAGGCAAGCTTCTATTGGCAAGGAGTTCCAAAGACAAATCTTGATCTCTGGTAAAGGCTTGATCTCTGTTAAAGTCTGACTAGACCTCAGAGGCATGGGAGGTACCTCTGCCAGTGCACAGTCTATCCATTAGGCATCAAAATAACTCCTCCTTTGGATATATATTTTTAATCACTTTTTTTTATTTACAACAGCAGCAGCACCACCAACAACAACACAAAAGTCCAAACCACCAGCTGTAAGCAAAAAATAAAAATAAAATTATTCCTGAAATCCCAACTCCCATCAGCTCCAGCCAACAGGGCTAATGGTCAAGGTTGATGGCCCTTTAAGTGCAACAACATCTGGAGGGTGTCAAAGTGCCTGCCCCTTTCAGTACAGCGTGGGGAGGTCCTCTGGCTCTACTTCTAGCCCACCTTCTGAAGTGTGTCTCTTGATTTTCACCCATGCAGTAACTGTGGCCTAGGACAGGGGTTGCCAACACGGCACCCTCCAGATGTTATCAAACCAGAACCTCATTGCCCATGCTAGCTAGGGCTGTTGGGAATTGTAGCCCATCAACATATGGAGGGAACTATGTGGGCACTCCCTGCTTGACAATTCCTAGAGTATATACTTCAGTTGCACCTGCAAAGATCTGTGATGGTGATGTGGTTTATTGGAAATAGCCTTAAATGTCCACAAGT